GTGTCCATGGTGGCGGTGGAAGCGGCAGTAGGGCTCATCAGGACCGATGGCATAAATCTCGAGGGGTGTACGGGAGTCTCGCTCAACGAGCCCCCGCTCTTCTGCATGATCAAGGATGACGCTGACGGGATGCGTCAAGGGAGTGCGTGGGTGCTCAAGGAGGACGGGTTGCGCCCATGCCTTCGGATTATTCTTGTAACCGCCCCCGGTTCGGGCTTGGCCACCTCGGGGGCGATCGTTGTATTGTGCCTCTCGATTGACCGGAGGGGGAGGCCCTCCAGGCCGGTTCCTGCCTTCATTTCTCTGGGAAGGATCCGTGTTGCGGCGGTCCTTCTCGATTTCCTCCGCTTCAGCATATCGGTCCCCCCGTTGAAGGGCCTTTGTATAATCGCGGGGGGGATCAGTAATGAGGCTCCGGGAGAAGTTACCGTTGCGGAGGACGGTGTGGAAGAGGGCCATCAGTGTCCTGTCATCAGCGCCTTCGACCTCGAGGGAGGCCTGCCTCCAGCGTTCCAGGAAACTCCGAAGGGTTTCTTCCCTCTGTTGCCTCACATTCAGAAGGTGGGAGAAGTGCTTCTTTGAGCGATGCCTCCCAGCAAATTGCGTAAGGAAGCGGTGGGCAAGTTCTTGCCAAGAATCAATGCTGCCTTCGGGCAACCGGTTGAACCACTCATACGCTGGTCCCTCCAAGGTGGAGAGGAACCAACGGCATAAGTATTCATCCGAGGCCCCCATCATCATCATGCTATTTTGATAGCGGCTGTAGTGTTCTTGGGGATCCGTCTTCCCCTCATATGGCTTGATGGGTTGCCCCCGATATTTGTGGGGGATTTTGGCCGCCAACACCCTTGGGGTGAAGGGTGTTCTAGTACGGAGTTGAATGAGGGGCTCGCCTGAGCCTTCGGCAAGTTTACGTTTCATTTCCTCCACCTGTGCCCGGAGGTCAGCGTACTCCGGATCCGGCCTAGCTGTGGAAGCCGTCGGCGGTGCCTGACGATTTTCCTCAAGTTGGCGGAGGAGGGCCTCGATAATTTCGTCCTTGGGATCCTTCGGGGCAACCCCTTGGGAGTTGGCCCGGAAGGATTGCGCCTGTGTGATTTGGTGCCTGGCATCATCGGCACGGAGGAGAGCCTTGCCTTTGCTTCGGGGGGGAGGCACGCCCTCGGCACCCAAAGCGGAGGCTCCACTTTCCTGGGGCCTGCTGAGCGCTTGTTTCCCGAGGCGGTCTTGGACCCCTCGGTGCCCTGGAGCTCCCCCGAGCCTCTCAAGTGCAGAGGTTCGGGGCCTATCCTTCATCGTGGGGCGCTTGTCCCTGGACTGGGCCTCTTGGGAGGCGGTATCCTGCGCCATGACCCCCTCGACATTGCCAATCCCCGGGGGAGGATTGTTGAACAAAGGAGGGAGTGGTGGTAGGTTGATAATATTCCCTCCAGCATAGGGCTGAAGGGGTGCCTGAGAGGCGAGGGCTCCGGAATTGAGAGCCATGTTCTGAACAAAGGCCGCAAAGGCTGCCTGAAGATCGATGGCCGGGGCCGGAGGGGGAACTTGGTTCTCACTCCGATCCCTCCTTCGATTATCAAGGCCAATGCGGGCGTCAGGGGCGTTCTTCTGTAGCTGTTGACGGAGGTCCGCAGTAGCCTGCTCCAATTCGAGGATGATACCACCCTCGGGCACTAAGAGCCTGTTGGAGGCCTCAGCCCCGTTCGTTTCGCCGGGGGCTACGTGGCTTCCCTCTAGGTTTTTGGATTGGGCACGAGTGGTTCTTCCCATTTTTGGTAAGCGTTTTGTATTTGGTAGAGGGGGAGGGTTTCTTACTTGATAGTTCAGACCTCTCAACGAGAGCACCAAATGATGGATAGTCTACCCGGGGGGTATCTTATCCGAGGGGTTATTGCGGGAATAACTAGAGAGAAGTCAGAGTAAATAGGAGGAGAGAGAGTCGATTCTATTAAATGAACTCAGCGTGGAGTTGAGATGTAGGTTGTGTGTATTACAAGGAGAAATAGGCTGCTATTTATAGCAGCAATAAATGCGATGAGAGGACACGTGTCAGTAATCCAACGGCCGAAGGGTCACATCAGCCGGTTGGCACCGGCAGTGGTACGTCCACCGCATTGAATGCGGTTGGCGGATGTGACGTGGTATTAAATGCGGTGGTTGGCTGTCTCTAAAAGGAATCTTCGATGATTGAGCCTGTTAAGCCGAAGGCCCTTGTGTAGCCGAAGGTTCCTTGTGTAGCCGAGGGCTCCTTGTGTAGCCGAGGGCTCCTCGTGTAGCCGAGGGCTCCTTGTGTAGCCGAAGGTTCGGTTCAGCCGAAGGCTTCCCCTGATGCCGAGGGCATGAGAATGCCGAAGGCTCATGTCTTCGGCCGTTTCCTCCCAGCAGCTTCCTATGCCAGAGAAGTCCATCCTGTGAGTTATGGAGCCTTCGGCCAAGGAGGCCGAAGGCACCCCTAGTGTGTATTCTGGGCTACTTTGAGGCTTGAGCCGTTGTATTTGGGCCTGAGATGTTCTCTGGGCTTAATGGACTTGTGTAGGAGAAGTAGGAGTCTATGGGCCGGGGGTTCCTGGGCCATATACTCCATCAATACCTATTATAATTATGATTATAATTATAATTATAATTTTTTATAATTATGATTATAATTATAATTATATTTAAATTATATATGTGTAATTACATTTCTAATTATAATAATTTAAATTATAATTATAATTATAATTATAATTATAATTTTAGAAATATTCAGATCAGATCAGAAGGATTCAGATCAGATCAGAAACATTCAGATCAGATCACGAACATTCAGATCAGGAACATTCAGATCAGATCAAGAACATTCAGATCAGATCAGAAAGATTCAGATCAAATCAGATCAGAAAGATTCAGATCAGATCAATCAGAAAAATTTAGATCAAATCAGATCAGAAATTAAAAAATTCAGATCCGAAACATTCAGATTACAATTGGGCTTGGGGTACACAATTCCATACACACACATACACACTATAAAAAGCCCAAAAATTACCACCATTTCTTACCCCCCCCCCCCTCCCTCACGTGATTGATACAACTCCCCCTCTTCCCATAGCTTCTGAATATCGTAACTCCTGTGTCGGCCTTTTTTTTCTTCCCGCAGCAGAGCTCTAGGAGAACGACAGCCTGAGGCTTTGAAAAAAATGGACTTTGGCGGCTTTGTGAATGAAAATATCATTGACGATTTTGACGGAGATGTGGGGTGACAGGTGAGGTTGAGCGAGAACCGGCAGCAGCGACTGAACTTGACGGAGATGCGGCGGCGACGGCCATGGACGACGTCCCTGAGCTTGGTATGACTTTGTGTTGGTGATTTTATTGGCTTTGAACTTAATTATATCTTTGTTCTTCACCGACACTTCTCTGTATTTGTGTAGTGTATAGTATCGTTTGTGTGTTTGTGAAGTGTATATAATCTTGTCTGTGTTCAAAATGTTATAAAATAACTTATGTCTGTGTAAATAAACTTCTATTTGAAATGTCTGTGCATATATATACTTTTGTCTGTGGGTATATATACTTATGTCTGTTCGTAAATATACCACTGCCTCTGCATAAATATACTTTGGTTTTAAATGTATGTGTGTGAATATATTTCTGTCTGTGTGTATATATACTTCTGTCTGTGCATCATCCTTTTAGTGCGTGCCTCATCTTTCTGTCTCTTAAACATTAAACTCTTCTTCTTTTCTTTTTTGTCTTCTCAGATTTATGGTTCCTCATCTCCTCCTCATCTTTCAATGCACTCAACTGGAATCCGGAGTCAAATCCAGATTTATAGCGGAGACCAAAATATTTGTAATTGTATCTTTTATCCTTTCAGTTTGGAATTTCATGGGCTTATAGTTCTTCCTATTTTTTCATTATGTTTTTGTTTTTAATTATTAGATACTTTCTAAAGTTTTGAACTTCTTTTAACTTTGATGTTTTATATTTGAAGATGTAATTTTTTAGACGATGTAATTTTATAGAAGATGTTATACAATTTAAATTCTTCTTTCGGTATAATATATTGGTGATTTTATTGGCTTTGAACTTAAATATATCTTTGTTCTTCACAGACAATTCTCTATATTTATGTAGTGTATAATATCGTCTGCGTGTTTGTGAAGTGTATATAATCTTGTCTGTGTTCAAAATGTTATAAAATAACTCGTCTGTGTAAATAAACTTCTATTTGAAATATCTGTGTCTAAACATACTTTTGTCTGTGGGTATATATACTTATGTCTGTCTGTAAATATACCACTGCCTCTGCGTAAATATACTTAGGTTTTAAATGTCTGTGTGTGAATATATTTCTGTCTGTGTGTATATATACTTCTGTCTGTGCGTAAATATAGCTATGCCTGTGTGACTAAACATACTTCCCTCATTGCATGTTAACATCGACACATTATTTATTTGTTGAAATATGTGAATGTCGATCGGATGGAAAAATTCAGCAAAATGAACATGAGAGTGACGTTGGTTCTAATACGTGAATCAAAGGCTAGGATTGAAAATGGAAGCGCCTCACAAGCTACCACTCGCTGACCATGGCATTGGACAGGGGGGTCCTAATTCAATGATGAACAATTGAACATGATGAATTGTAGTGGTTTAGATTTAAATCTTGGTTTGATGTAAATGTGCATTCATTTATTTCATAGACATTTATGTATTAGGACACAAACACATACTCTTTGGTCTTCACAAACACAAGACATGTTTTTGGGCAGATATAAATTTTCAGTTGTAATATTCTACTTTGATTCAAAAAATTTGATTAACGTATGAAATTTTTTCCATCACCTCCAAATTACACATGGGCTCTAGTGGTGATCAAAGTAATATAAATTAGAACTACTTAATTACAAAAAGTAGTAATTAACAATATTTGAAGTGGATGTAAGAGTAGATACATAACACCGACAACTACGACACAAATCACAGACAAAGTCATATTACAGCACAGACACGGTTTTTCTTCTTCACAGGCAAAGTCATCCTCTATATATATTAACGCCAAAAACATTAAGTGTTTGCCACAAAAACAAATAGGCATATCAATTTAGGTAATATTTGGGAGTACATTCTAGGACATTGTACAACATTGATAGTAAAACATTGTACAACCTCCTACATTTAACAACCAAAGTCCACATTTAACTTTCAACATTCAGGCAATAAATGTACCACCAAAAAATCAGTATATAGCAAGGTTACATCATTGTTTTACAACCAAAACACTAAATATGCACACCCAAACTTGTCTAGGTCGATCGCTTCCTCAAAGCCCACAGCCTCATTGCAAATTCACATCTTTCATCTGCCATGGTCTTATATGCACACTCAGGCCATCACCATGACGCCGCAAACACCAATCTGGACATAAAATAAATTACTCAAATAATTGTTATTCTAAAATAGTTAAATTAATTGGTATAAACAATCTGGTATAAATGTGTACGAACTAACTGGTGTGATCTTAACATCTTATAAATAAGCAGGAGCATGTTGTGATGTTAACATCTTATAATATAATGGTGTGAATAAAAACAATGTGTTTCCCTCAATAGTATTACTGCACTTTGTTTTGTAATATGAATAGATCACATACTTCTTGAAATCAATTTGCTATATTATGACATTATTAAACATCAATAAGACACTATATTATGGTCAAATATAACCGGTATGATGGTTTTGCATTAATTAGTATAGCAGTTTAGAACTACTATTTTTATAACTACTATGACTACTATTTGGAAAATTAACTAATTCACAAGTGCAGATTTTTACTCCCACCCAAGAATTCAAAAGTGCAGATTTTTACTCCAACCCAAGAATTCAAAAGTGGAGATTTTTACTTTGTACTCTAGTCGGTGCATTTAGTTAATTATCAAGACTTAATGTATACTTTTTACTTTAGATGTATTTACTCTAATCGGTGTATTTAAAATTCAACTACAATTTTTATACCACTATATTAACTGGTATTCTTTCAATAGGCATCCTTCTTTCAGTAGTTTACTGGTATAGCACTATAGTATACAAAGGATGACTTTTGCATACATGAACAACAAAATTGGGCACAAATGGATTGTTAACCATAAAAGTAGAAAACATTTGAAAATTGATTCAAAATGAGTAAAACTTAAGTACACTACATATAATAGGAGTAGTTGTGTTTATCGTTAACATAAGGCTTATTTCATCTTCTAAAAACAGTAAAAATCAGTTAAACTTCATGAAATGGACACTCAAGTTCATAACTTTATTTGTCATTACTTCATGATTCATAACTTCATAAGTCATACTTTAAGAATTTGGAAATCAGTTAACCATAAGGTATTTTAAGGAACTTGGAAAATTATAAATCATGAAAAAGTTAACCATAAGACTTATAAATCATTTAGCCAAGGTATTTCAACTAATTTGGAAAATTAAGGCACCCGAAGTCCATGAAAACGTTATGTAATATGTAGTAGAATTTTTTCCTTTATTTTATGAGGGTGTGTGTAAGAGATCATTAACGGATTATTCTCTAAAATATATTTTATATATAGTCTTTCCCTCACCTCAAATCTGCTAGTTCTAACATTCTCTGAAGTCTAAAGTAAACATATTGGTTATTTGCTTACGAATCTAAGATTCTATATATAATCACACGACAATTGAATCTGCTTACATTCTTTATGTATTCATCAATTACATACAATATAAGAATATGTTTCCTTGCTTCAAATTGAGCATTGTTCCAAATTTGGTAATTTATTAGTCCTTGTTCAAGTAGTTTCTACTAGTCCTTGTTTAGAAATATTAGTAGAACTCAATTAAGTGAAAAAGAGTAAGAAATTTATGGGGGATTAATTGGCACATCAAATTTAAGAACAGTGAAAATTTTACACAAGAGTTATACTTTAGAACTGTCTTATTGTTTTGCATTCAGGCAAAATAAAGTCCCCACAGGCAAATACAGAGCCATATAGACAACCATATAAGTCTTCACAGACAAATGAAGGCACATCCTTTTACATATAACTTCACACAGACAAATACTTACACAAATCGATCTTCACACAGACAATACATATGTTCTTCAACAGGCATAAAATCAACCTTACACGGACAATGTATATTGTTCAAAATCCAAACAATAGATGAGTTCCAAAACTTCATAAACAGAGATATTTTGCTTCACCCTCCAAATTAATATCATCAAATAGCCTAAAATTGTAAAAAAAAAAATTGAGGTTACATACCTTTCTGCCATGGTCAATAGCGGGGTTCGCCCCATTTTTGACTGAGACAGGGAGGAAGGTTCGCAACTTGGAGTGCCCAGCGACCACGCTCGCCTTCGACGGAGGTTGGCGGGAACCGGGAGGAGGGATGCCTTCGACTAGGGTTGGCGGGGACGAGTTCGCGGCGACGAGGTTCGGTTCGTCGACGGTTGGCGTCGATTTTGCTGGCTTTGTCGAGGGTAGGTGCCGACCAGTTTGCCTTCGTTGAGGGGGGATTAATCGGCAGAGAGGTTGGAGGGAAGGGAGAAGGATGGATGCGCGAAACAGGAGGGGGAGTGTTTTTTTTTTAATTGGCTGAAGTGAGGGAAGTGGGGTAATTTTTGGGGGGGCTATTTATACCGTGTACGTGTGTATAAATTTTGTGTAACAATAGCAAATTTGTTCAGATTAGGTGAAGAGAACAACTTCTTAGTGGTCTATTTTAGTGGTCATTTGTATCGTTTGTTCATTATAATATACTTTTTGGATTACCAATCCAGTGAAGCCATCATTATTCTCACAGATGTGCTTATCCTAGAATTTGCTGGAGGAGATTAACAGGCTATCATACAAATAATAAAACAGTGGGTCCCCTATATGATCATAGATGGGTAAAAGTCTTCGAAGTAAAATTACATCATTCAATACGTAAGTGTATCGACGCCATTATGACCGTGTGGCCTGAGGTAATAATCTTGGGTGATTTCCAAGCAAGTGCAGATTTTTACCTTCGAGGCTTCGATCATAAATTCACAATCACTCGCGGAAAACTCGCATTTTGTTTATGCTTTGAAATTTGACTTATTCTTAAAGTAATTGAGGAATGTTTAATATTGTACCGTCCCAAAAAGTATGTCATTTTTTAAAATATTGATACATATATATATTTTTTGGAAATTATTTATAATATAAAAAATATTTATAAAAAATTTATATAAATATTATTTGTTAAAAAAACTTTCATAAAAGTATAACATTTATAAATTTAATAATATTATACCAATCAAAATCATAATTCAAATTTTATGAAATGCCAAAGGTTTTTTGGACGGCGGTAGTAATAAATTAAAGATGTATTGATATAAATTGTTTCTGCTCTTTCAGATATTGGAGTGTTTGGGTGAAAGTACAAAAAGAATTATGAATGCTTCAAATTGCTTTTATAAACAGTTTTTTAAAAGTGAAGACTAGCTTTGAAAAGCAAATTGAGATTTTGCTTCTATTGAATACAGACAAGACATAGAAAAAGAATCACACCCTCTAATCTTAGTCCTATTTTAAAAGGAAAGTAATTTTTAGAAAGTTGAAGTCAAAGAGTACTTGTCCCCCTAGTAAAATTTAGAGTCCGTTTGGTGACTCTGTTTTTTTGACTTATCAGACTAAAAAACTAACTCTTTAACCAAATATTTAACTTTTGATTTCGCGTACTGAATTCTGTAATAATAAGAAAATGCATGTAAGGTTGTAGTTACATTTCTGGCTGCATTGGCTAAAATTACTGTAGATGATCATTTTAGCTATTTTTCATATATTCTTCTTTATTTGATTAATAAAATATATTTTCAATATACTTTTTTTCATAAATCAGTAGAATCAACTAATACAGTTACTTCAACTACAATTTTGTATATTTCAACAGAATCATCCGATTTGAGTATTACCAAAGAGGGTGTTAATATTTGAAAAGAATTACGTAGTAGAAATTATCAAATATTCAGGGTCGGCCCTTTGGAAATGCAAGGGGCGGGGGTAAATGGTCTACCACGGGGCAGGCCCAATACCCCGTGAGTAAATGAACCAAAAGGCTTGTGATGTGTCCAGGCCAATGTTCTAAAAGGCACTAGGCGCTAGGCGCTAGTCGGGCGCCAGCCCAGCGCCTAGCGCCTAGGCGGCTAGGCGGACGCCTAGTCGGCGACTAGTCGGAGACATAGAAATTACATTTTTATCTATATTTTTGCATAAATTTGATAAGTAATATTGTATTTTTGTGTGTATAAAATACATATATACATATACATTAACAAACATGAAAGGTAGAATTATCACATTTAATCATACATAGTATATCATAACTAATCACTTATCTTCATTATGTTATAAATATAAATAATGATAAAATTTATGTATATATACAAACATGTATAGTTTTATCTTAATTTACAACTTCATTTCTTTATATCCATGGCTAAAGTTAAAGTATGTATATCGCTTGAAAATTAAAATTAAAATTAAAAAGTAAAGTAATGATAGACAAATCTAGAAGGCCTAGGCGGCCGATTAAGCGCTCTATATAGGCGGGCAACTAGGCGCCATTGGCGGACGACTAATTCACCTGTACGGCCAACCAATTAGTCGGAGCGCCTAGACGAAAATCGGGGCGCCCGACCAGCGCCTAGGCAGGGACTAGAACGATTTTTAGAACAGAGATCCAAACTTGAGCACCACTGCCCGCGCGCACGAGATCCTTGAACAATAGCCAAATTCTACCAGAATTACTACCTCAGGATAATTGACGAAAAGCACCTTTAATGGTGCATTTGAAGAGGGTTCACAAATTAAATCAGGGCTCAATTTTTTTATCCAAATAAAAATATACAATATCAAAGTTGAATATATTGAAAGTCATACATGCATATGTAATGATACAATAAAAATTTATTTATTTATCTCCATTGCAATTGAGAGTGGTCTATTGGATAAAACTAAATATTATTGCCGCTCAAGATTTGGTTGAAAATGATATGTAATGAAAACTAATTATTTATCTCCGATCCATTGCAATTGAGAGTAGATGTTCTGGTTGATTTCGTTCAAATTACTGTAACTTTTTTTGGGTACAATGGAAATTAACCGTAACTTTTAATAGTTTGGTTTATCGATGACATATATAAGTATATAACATTATAACTGTGTTTTTGTTTAATAATTAAATACGAATTTACCTTTATAATGGATTTTTATTTTATATTTAGATTTCATTATTTGATTTTTGAACAGTACCCGTACGAAGTCGGGGCCGGCCATGCAAATGTTGTCACTAGCTAAATCCTAAATTAAATGTTGTACTTTATATAATTCACCCATTTTCTAGCTTGTTAAAAACACTAATTTAGTAGTAAATTTTCGAAGACACTTGTCAACTTCAATCAAAAAGCAAAAAGAAAACTAGGAGCCCATTTTATAACATTTACATTAGCTGAATTGATTGCATCTCTTCAAAGTGATGAAATTCTGGCTGAAGCGATCTAATTACATGAATCTGCTAAATTATGAAATAACTATACTTAAAATATACTCCGTACTTTATTAATAAATTGAAGAAAGATTTATAAAAAAACATAACTTCAGCAATTTCAACTAATTCCATTGAAAAAGTAATTTGACATTTGCAATCAAAAGTTAATGTACATATATTTATATAAAACTGATTGGTAATGCGGATAAGACGAATAAACTCAATAAAGGACTATTTTTCACTTGCACACACATTTTTTTTAGTTTTTTTTTTTTAGTTTATACGGATAAGACATTATAATATTTAATATTTTTCTATTGTATAAGTCTTGTTTAAGGGCCCTTTTCTCTTGTATTTTCTTTTTTTGAGTCTATGAATAGTGAGTACTGAAATTAGCTAGTCAAGTCCCTAATTACTGTTCCACATTACTGCTTCACGATCATTTTATCGGTCCCGATCCAAATCATCCCAAAAAGGTGGAATCTCTCATCCTAGCACGCATGATCAGTTGTAACCTCGAAATGATCCTACGAGTTTCGAACCTTGATCATTGTTCCAAATTTTCCACCACTGAACCAAATGAGCTACTCGTGCGGGTAAAATCCCGATCCAAATCACATTCATACACTTTGCAATGTCATTGCACATAATCGTCCCTTCATTGTCACATTCAAACTTCTCCTATTATATACTCCGTATTTCTTATACATTGTTTTCCGTATCTCAACCCATCATTTTTTTTAAAGTTGTGTAGTAAAAATGTTAACAAACGTTTTTTTGTTAATACAATATGTATCAAATCAAAACTGCCCCAATCGCCGCTGCTAGCAAATGTCTTTCATAAAAATGTAAAAAAATGCCTGCAGCCGTCGCTAATATTTTAATAAATAGAAAAAGTTCTAGATAAAAAATCATTTAGAAACAAAAAAGAAAAATATTTGTATAATTGTTACGGAAATACGGAGTATATAGAAAGCATAGTAGATAACAAATTACTCCGTATAATTATTTGCAGAAAAAAAAAATTATTTAGGAGTATATAAAAATAATAAATTTTCTAGAATACTAATAAATGAAGGAAAAGTGGTAAACATATATATATGACATGCACTGAAGGTAAGAATTATATAGATTACATGTTTCTTGGTATTCTGTGCATATTTTGCTAATGAAAATAATAATTCAGTGTTTTTTACAAGTTCGATTGGATATTTCTTAGGTTAAATACAATGAAGAAAACGGGATAAACTATTATTAATCAAATCATTGTTCAAATACAATGAAATATAAATAGGTGGATTATCAAAATAAATCGAGTCATCAGACATAGAAACAGCTGTCCTAACTAGCTGGTGAGCAATTTGATTTGTTGACAGATTCACATGAGATATTGTTATACTAATAACACTACAAAAAAAAGGCGGGATTGGCACGGAATTTGGCACGGACTTATCAATTTTTCGTGCCAAATAGCTCGTGCCAAAGTGTTTTTGGCACGGATTTGGCGTATCCCTGCCAAAATCCGTGCCAAATCCGTACCAAAAACCCTGCCAATTCCGTATTTTTTTTGTAGTGTAAAACTGGTTAATAAATGTTTAATGTCGTCAACGATGAACCCAAAAGAGGATAGTATAACTGTATAAGTGCATATCTCATAGTTTTTTCAAACAATTGCGGAACTTTATTTCCCTTTTAAGCACTCTCTTCTACGCGAATTTCAATTACGCATTTTATTTATTTTCATGTCATTAACATTTGGCGAGGTTTAGATGGTGGAGGAAACAGGAGTACAAATTAAATTGGAAATTATTGTTATCGGGATTTTCCGATTTTGAATTTGCATCTTACATTTGGACATTATTGTTATCGGGGCAACGTCTTACATTTACAAATGGGTCAAGTCCGGTGCATTTGCTCAAATTATAGGTTAAATGACTAAATCGACTGAGTCTATTTAGAACCGTCAGGATTTAAAAAAAAACAGCATCCTACATCTTATCAATAGAATAAAAATAAATATATGCAAATAGTTAAAATAGTCTAATTAAGAAACTTCAATCACATCAGTCACAAAAATAACTTCAACCTTTTTTATTTTTATTATAAAAATTTAGTGCTCGTTTTAAAAATTATGTATTTTGATAAATAAAAAAATGGTCGATAAAGTTGCTGATAAGGTGAAAATAGAGATCACCAAACAAACTCTAAATTATACTTCCCCCGTTCCCTTTTAATTGCAACAGTCAACATTTCACGTTTGCCAACGCACAAGTTTGACAATTAATATCTTTTATTCCTTATTAGTAAAAAATTCAAAAAATTCATATTTTGAAAATTTAGAATAAGAATTTAATAATATTTTTAAAAAAATTATTTAGAATACATTAATGAATAAAATATAGTCAAAGTAGAATATGTGAATAGTGCAAAAAGTCCAATGTTGCGATTAAAAGAGAACGGAGGATATTACATTTTTTTCTTGTGTTTATACTTCTAAAGCGAAAGTATAAACATAAGAAAAAGAGTCATTTTCGTAAATGTTACCGAAATATAAATGAAGCACAAAATCATGTAGTTGTATAAAATTACTATACTAATCATTAAGTTATATTTTCGTTCTTTACTTTTATTTCACTCATATTCGTCATTATTTCATATAGTAAGTCAAAGATATGAGAAAATGAATACCACGTCCAATAATTTAACTGCCTCAACAATCAAAATTTTAAGGTGGTTTCTATGATACCCATAAGGTACCATACCTTTGTTCACATGGACCAATGAAAATGTAGCAGTTGAATTATTTAAATCTAAATTAAAATTGATATAGTGATGTGGTTCAATTAAATAAATACTAGGTACGGTACCCCTGTTTTTAGAAAGGTACCGGAGTTGTCACTAAATTTTAATTTTAAATGTCCATGCAATCAAAGCAAATACCCGATCATCCGGTACCGCATATAAAAGCTAACGCCCCACATTTTCCCACTCCAATAAGCTCAAAGCAACAAAACATTCACAGAGCAAATGACATACCATTGGCCGGAAAGTATGCCGGCGACCCTCAAAAAGGCCGTCGAGGAGCTGATTCTTGGCCGGGAATTCGCATACCAACTATGGGAAATGGTGAAGAACGGCCGTGGGCATGGCTATGCCGATGATCATGGACCGCCGGAGTTGTCTATTAGCGTTGCAAAGGATCTGGTGGAGAAGATTTTGGGATCTTTTTGTGAGAGTATTTCCATTCTTGGGTCATTGGACCCCGCCGAGGTTTCTCCGGCAGCGCGGCTGCGGCCATCGTCGCCGTCGATGGACCGCCGGAAGACGGAGGACTACGGTGGAAGGTGCAAGACTTCATCACTCAAAGATGGTAGAGGCTGTTACAAGAGAAGGTGATTTTCCTTGCAAATTTTTATATTACCCCATCTTTTCGCAAAAGCTAAGTTTGATTAAGGACAAGATTAGTTCTTTTCATATACTTTTCGATCATAGTAGTATTTACATCATCAATATCATATGATCATATCATTCATAAAAATTTATGCATTAAGAAATTATATTAGTTTTGGAACTAAAATTTGATATTAAGAAGACGATTGTATTGATTGCGGAATAACCAAAAAATGGAATGGAGGCTGCACTTCATAAAATGAAGACAAAAAAACTACAATTTTGAAATAAAGATTATTACGTAGTATAATTTTATAGTTTTAAAAAATTATAATCTTGTAATATAATACGGAGTATGTTCTAAATATTCTTAGGTGAGTTTAGAAATCGCAGCCTAATCAGAATTTCTGTTCATGAAAAAGTTATAGATTTCGAATTAAATGAAATAATAATTATTTATATTTATTTTTATGTTACGTGCTCGAATTTAATAAAAAAATGTTGACTGGTAAACCTGACAAGTCGAAAAACATGTCACAAATTAATTAAAGAGGCTCATAGTTTGCTCAATCCATCTTTTGGTTGCTTTTACTCCGGATCCGTATTAATTTTGATGAGCCTATTTGTGAAGATAAGTACTTTTCGACACTGATTAAGATTTTATTCTTAATCAATCAATCAAGTTCACGGACTACCCCATATTGACATATTGTTAAATTAAAGTTGTACGTAATACAGTATATGCCTTTTTGTTAAGCTGGTGATATTCTAAGCATCTTACTAACAGTTAATCAAATCCATATGCGTACGTTGCTACTTGATGATTTACTGTAATTAATGCTGCTTAATTTGCTATTTTTGTACAATACGAACTAAATAATTACGAATAAGGCACACCCCAAGGAGCTGTTTGATTGAATTCGTAGATTTCAGAGGTCAAGGAAGGCAAAGAGTATTATTTATTTTTAAAGTTATTTCTAAAAAGATTTACGATTAGATTGTTAGAAATAGAATAAAGATAAACAATTAATACGGTGAAAAATCTAGCTCCTAAATGTAGGGTGTTTAAAATTTTTACAATTAAAATTTTAGACAATTATAAATAGAGTTCAAAATTTGATTTTAATATTTAGAGACAATTATAGACTCGTAACTTCTAGTTAATTTTCATTACTTTGTTTTTTCAAATTCTATGTGTTTAATTTTTTCTGGTATACTTATGGTGCATGATATCATAAACATAAATCGAAACAAAGTTAGAAGTTAATCATTTTTAATTTGTCATTAAATATAAGTGTTTTCTACTGAAAGTTTTATTTCACAATATTTAATTTAACATATGCTTCTCACATGTTCATTTCTATGTATGGTGCCGGCGCATATATGTTGTGTTACTTCATGTTAACCTTTATTATGTACATAGTGTGTGTTTTGATTAATTATAGCATTGTTAATTTGGTAAGATAATGACACCATAATGTCATTCAGAGGATGAATTTTAATAACTATGCCAATTATTGTTGTTATTATGCAGGAGGAAAAGTGAGACATTAATTAAAGATTCCCAAACTTTGCTAGATGATGGGTATGGGTGGAGAAAATATGGACAAAAAACTATCCTTCATTCCCTATATCCAAGGTTTGCTAGGCTATACCATATTACACTTTAATTAATCCTTCTATAATTTACTTTTTAAAGACTTGGTCTGGTGGCGCTATAATTAACACGCTTCCAGCTAAGAACTTACACTTTTTTACTTTATTTAATTACGGAGTATTATTTTATTTTACTTAATATGCCTCATTTACTAAACACATAAAAAGTGTTCTAGAGTACTTGATTTGATATGCATTTCCATAGTTGAAAAACGCGCTTCACACAAAGTAAAAAAGTGTTTTACGTTGATGATAATTAAAGAGAAAGTTTTCGAAATAGGACTAAAAAAGTTTGAAAATTCCAAAATAGGACTGTCATATTTTTATTCCCAAAATAGGACTAATTACTGTCAAACTTGGAAAATACTGTCATGTTTAAAGTCTGGTACTGCCAAAACGTGACAGTAATTAGTCATATTTCGGGAATAAAAACATGGAAGTCCTATTTTGAAATTTTCAAACTGTTTTAGTCCTATTTTGGGTAATATCTCATAATTAAACAGTTTCAATTCCAAAATTCTTTTAAAAAAAGTCCCACTTACTTTGAAAGTAAAAATAATAATACTAATAGAAGAAAGTTATTAGGTAAAACTTACCAAATACAGCAACAGATTAAAGTAAATAATAAATTAATTATAAAAAAGAATATGTTACCCTTAATAAGATGCGCATGGTTCATTCCCTTTTTTTTGCTCTGTTCCATTAGATTTTTCCTTTAATTTTTTCATCACATTTATTTTACTTTTCTATTACTTTATCATGTAGTAGCTACTTATTACCCATGCTTTTCTTAAATTAAATTTCATGATAACATTTAAGAGTATAAATTACATATCAAGAAAGAAAGATGCTTCTAGCTAGCTGCCAATAGAAAAATCAACAACCGTTGAGCAGAAATTCGAAATAAATTCTTTATGTATTTTTTCTTTTGACATCCCTAATTAATTGGTATTGAAAAATAGGACATATATACTGTATATACATATTGAAAAGATTAAAATTTGGATTTGAATTCGTGGAACTTTAATTTGCTATACTTCTCCGATTTGAATGAGTGTATGTATGTAACAGTAATGTGATAAATGAGACCATCATTACTTACCCACTTATCCATTCACAAATATAATTAATCATATATTTTACCCTACCTCTCAAACTTCTTTATAGTTAATATATGAGGTTGTTTCTGTCTTTGTACATACTCCGGGTGTATATCATTATTAACTATCCAATTGTAAAAAGAATTAGGCTCTATTTGCAAACACAACTAAAAAAGCACTTCCCAGCTTTTGGCTTAAAAAAGCTAAAAAAGATGTTTTCAAATGACAACTTCTACTTAAATGAATTACTTAAAAGCTAAAAGCTAGAATTTGCTTTTTACTTTTTCTATTACACAAAAAGCACTTATTTTACCAAACACCACCAACTTTTACTTTTAAAAATCACTTTTTTCTCAAACACTACCAACTTTTACTATTAATCACTTTTTTATCAAATCATTTAAAAAAAGTTAAAAGCACTTCCCAGTTGGGTTTGCAAACAGAGCCTAAGGCTTGTATGCTTGTTCACTCTTATAATTTATTATTATAAGGCACGACCTCGACACCTCACTTCCCCGGGTATTTTGAAACGTTAATTCCGACCAAGTAAAAACACATACTCCCTCCCTCCCATTTTACATGTCCTACTTTCACTTTTGGATTGTCCCAAAATAAGTGTCACATTTTTATTTTCCTTTTTTGCAAAAAATATGTGGTCTACAACAACATTTCACTTTATTATGCTCAAATCGCAATCACAACTTTTACTTTTTCAATCATTTAATTAATAATCGTGTCAAGTCAAAGTAAGACACATAAAATGGCCAAATGGGACGGAGGTAGTCCATGTTTAAATATGATGACAATTTTCTAAAACTTCTTAAAAGTACTCTGCGTAAAAGAACTTTATTCATTTGCTTTTCTAAATGGCTGTGTATGGGATGCTTAACGTGATTGGATTAACAATAATTATTATTATAATTAATTCTCCCATTAACAAAAACTTGCCCCCAAAGTTGCGCTGCCATGAATGTTTAAACAAAAAGTGGCGTGACAAAATGTGCGAAAGTGACTTTCTTAATGCATATTTTTAATTGCAAAAACTGTATTCCGTAATTGCCACTTTTTTTACGCTCCATACATACAGAGAGTTCTGAAATATAGGTTGTGTAATTTCAAAATATAACTAGTATGGGTTGTGTAATTTCAAAATATAACTAGTATGTTTTTATTGTCTGTTATCTTGAGATCATAACTGTCAAAATATTTGGATTACTAGTTGGTATTTCAAACATGACACTATCAAATCTTATTTCGCGCAAAGAAAAACATAGCAATTATATTTTGAAATTCCAAAACATATTAACTTCTATTTAGTGTCATTTCCCTACTACTATCGTACTCGGTATATTATAAGGACACCTAACAAGCTAAGGGCTGTTAAGACTCGGGTATATTGTTCATATTTTACCAGTGATAAATATATCGATATATGAGAACTCTTGATGACAATAGTATACTCCGTATTTCATTTGGATTGCATGTATTGTCGTCATTCATTTTTTTCATTAGTTCATCATAGCTAGGTTCCCACAATATGACTATGGAGACTTTGAAATTGATGTCATGTTATAATTTGGTATTTGATCCTAAAAGCTAAAATTAAACAAATTGAATAGGAAGAACAGTCTAAGATCTTATTAATTAATATTTCAACAAAGGGTTGTTTTTAATTTACATATTTATTCATTTTATTGCCATTGTTTTCAACTCATTTTGCATTACTTAATTTGACATATTTATCTATGTAGGCATTACTACAGGTGCACCCACAAATTCGACCAGAATTGCCAAGCAACCAAACAGGTGCAAAGGATTCAGGAGAGCCCTCCCCACTACCGCACCACATACATAGGCAATCATACGTGTACAGAATTCCTAAAATACCCCCCGGTTATCAACCATCCTACCTCATACATGGACTCCTCAACCCTAGACTGTCTAGGACAAAACGGTCAAAGTGACCAGGGCGAGCCCCTTTCTCCTCTTACAAAACAGTTGCCTGAGGGTTTGTACCAGGCACATAACAATCATCTGAAATCGACATTTGGATTAGTGTCTTGCCATATGCGGCCTGCAATGTCTTCAGGGTTGGGATACAGAGAATTGATATCTTCTGGGTGCACCTATGATTTGACTACGCCACATATCATGGCCACTGCTGATATGGATGAATTGACTTTCGAAAATTTGCAGGAACTGTGCTAGCCCCACCCCCACACATTTTACATGTCGGTGGATGTAATTCAACGGGTAGATAATGAGTGGCATAAGGGGTGAACTTGGATTCGATTCTTGGCAACTAGAGGTTTCTATGTCAAGCTATATAGGGCCTCTGCAAGTATATGAGTCAGAGTCTCACTCACGATTTGTCATGATTAAAGTTCAATTTACATCCTCCGAGTTAACTGTCCGTCTTGTGCTGTAAGACCTTCACGGATGGAGTGTCATCCTTTTTTTGTAAGTTATATACTCCGTACATGTCTACTATTGATCTTATAACTTTGATTACTTAGAGATCAAATTTTGCAACAATTTTGTCCACGCTAATGGGTTTTTCATTGGAGCAGACTGTTTCCGATAGAAAACTTATTGCCTGCGGCGGCATTTCAGATCAAATTTTTGCTGGAAATTGTATGTTCCGATGTGAAATCACTTAATGTGGACAAATTCATTAGTTATAAGACATGATCTCTATGTAAACAAAGTTATGACACTAGTAACAGACACAAACAAGTTACGAAATTAATTAAATACTATCGGGTATTCTCTCATCTGTCTTGGTACTACTCGTATCAATTATTCTCCTGTCCTGGTATTATCTTATTGTCCTAACTTGACATGTATGCATATGTGTGGTTGAGATTTGAGTAAAAGGATAAAATAATAAAAGTCATATATATATATATATATATATATATATATATATATATATATATATATATATATATATATATATATATATATGTTGAAGGTTGATTTAGGGTAGACCGAAATTAAAGAAAGACAAATTGAGGGTGCATGAAGTATAGTTTTGACCTTTTAAGTGTTTTTTGTTATAATAATGTAATATGGGTAGTGCTAAAGACCATTAAGGTTATTGGGAAAATATTTTTTTTATATTGTAATTCCGAACTATTACCAAGCATTATACGGAGTATGAAAATAGAATGATGATTTAGCAAGGTGGATATACCAGTGATTTGACTTCGTGAAATAAAAAAATAACCACAATATGAATTGAAAATAGGGAAAACTTTATTCATTTTACCTGTGAATCTAATTACACTCGTTCAATGCACATTTACTCATGACCACGCGATGAAATCTTCTTATGAAATCCTAAGAATGCAACTGGCCAACTAGGGTGAAGATAGGGTCTTATCACGCGCGATCTATCCCAAATTTTAAAAATGTTTGTTTTTAGTATAAAAGTTTATGTATAAAATTTGTGAGGAAAAAAAACTTTAAATAAATCCACTCTAAATTTTACTCCTACATATGCTCCCGAGTACAACTTACTCCCATAAAATATCTCACTCACTGTGGCATTTACCAGGTACCAAACGTACTTCCTAGTAATATCTTGATAAAGAAGCCACCTAACAAAGTTCTGACTAGAGCGAATTTGGTCAATATTATTAGCTATATATCCTTTTAAATGAAGCTTTTGTGTTGAGTGGAAGTTTGGAGATATCTTTGTTTTTGACATACAAGGGTAAACCTTGAAGAGCCAGAGGTAATGGGTATGAAATATAAACATAGTTAATGCAATTTAGCTATTGGAGATATGTTCAAAGATTCCATGAAGGTTTAGATTTTTGTTTAGCAAAATATTGAACCATTGGGAGTCCACCTCAGCTAAAATATTGGTAAGGCATATTTCCTTGTATAAATCAACGTTTAGATAAGTGAAACACTTTCCTTTTGGTGAATATTTTTGCATTATTACATGAGAAAGACTTAGCAATAATATAATAAAGTGACTCATATCATCGCGGACAATAGCACCCCCAAAGCAATTTCATTCTCTAAAACAAGTGTTTTGTTTAATTAATTACTAATTTAATACTTCCTCCGTATTTCAAAGATCGCTACGTTTGGTTATGACACAAGATTTAAGATAGAATAGTAAGAGTAATGAATAATATAGAAAAAGTAGGATAGAAGGTGAAAAAATAGGAAAGAGAGGATAAAAAGTAGAAAAAATAAGGGTAATTATATATTGAATATTTTTTAAAGGAAAAACTTACCAAAAAGGGAAAGTGTAGGGAACATTTAAATACATCCCAAAAAGGATAGTGTAAGGAACTTTTAAATACGAAGTATTACGTATGTGTTAGATGTTTATACCAGTTGCACTATCTTGTAATATATTATTTTTTGTTCCTTCTCTTTTTTATATATCATATTATTTCATGATTTGAGCGATACATATTGCAATCCATGTAGATCATTGGTGGTTATCCTCTATATAGTGATTATAGTCTATATGTTCTTTGCAAGTGATGCACCAAAGATGTGACCCACACACATTCTCTTTGACTTCATATAAAATAATTAACTCAGCTCTTCGATCATGAGTGATGATTGATGAAGTGGCCTGGCTAACAATGTCAAGTTTCTTCAATGCCAAGAAGCAACAATACTAGTGTATAAGTAAACATATATGGTGGCTATGTGTGAATGAATAAATGTCTGCTAGCAGGTTGTAATTTGTATAGCGGTATTTGAAAACATATCTTAAGGATGCTCTAACGTGTTCATCATATCATTATGTATATACAAACATAATATATCCAAATAATAAGAGGTTTTCTGTTAATAACCCAATCAATTCTGAGGAAAATACGTGAAATTCCATTGTTAAGTGATAAATGGGGAATTTGTGAAAAATTACAATCCGCACTACGGAATAGTCCACGTGAGCATCCGAATAGCCAACCCAATGAATCTTGAATTCTTTATTCCTTCGTAAATAATCGCATCTCATTAGTTGCTCGTGACTACATTAGATATGTTTTACACCGTCTCACTAATGAAAAGACGTTTAAATGATTTCTTTTAATAGAATAAGTAAATATAGAGAAGAACAAAAATCTCATTGTTGTAGAGAGATTAATAATGGATTTTGTAAAGGGGCCTTCCTAATATATTAATAATAGAAATTTAGGGACAAAAATGTGACTTCAGTTAATTACTATCATGTATTTTTATAGTCCCTAAATATTATTAAGTCACATTTTTGTGACTATATTGAAAATCACTCGCGAGGGTAGAATACTATAAGAAAATAATTCGGGGGGAAGTGGGTAGTAGTCATAATATATACAACATGCCCAAAATAAAATTAGATCTAGTTCTTCATCTCCTCCACTTCCAATTAATCAATTACGCTAGTACTAGATCTAAGTTAATTAATTAATGATATGAAAAGAGATTAATAAAAATAACTTTGTAATACTGGTCAATAATTTATGACACATGCGATGTTGAAGATGTCCCCATGATTGCAACAAAATCAAGAGAATAAAGGGCCCAGATCAGCGTGAGAGTGGAAATCAAGACCGCCATAGGGCCAAACATCCACAACATCATAGGAAATGACATACAAAACATTCTATTTGCTATCAAGGAAAACATGAATCCCCGTTCCAACATTGTCTGTAAGTATAACTGCGATGATGGACATGTTGAAAACTCTCCCAATGCATTCACCAAAATGTTTGCATCGACAAAGTACCCAATCGCTAAGGAGCTGCACATGAAGCTAGCCAGTAAGAAAAAGGTAGTGGTGCAGAACTTTAGCATGATGATGTCATTGGAATGTTGTAGTCCCAACAATGGGGCATGAAGGTAGTGGTGGAGAGATGTAACATTGAAGACGTTGTTAGTGAGGGCTGCTAGTGAAATGACCACTATGATAGTTATAGTAGCTGTGAGGATTGTTTCCATTAGGCCGTTTCTCAAGCTTTGCACGACTAACATTCCATTCTTTTCATTTGCCTGAAATTAATAAGTAAATAAATGGAGTTTCCTATAAACAATGTTACATACACATAGATACATACACATATTCATATACAAATGCAAACATATACTACGTATATATGAACTAATTGTGATACAAATAGTGTTTCTCAAGTGCAATACACATGGATTCACTTTTAGCTGACCATATATAGGATGGAGTATATGGGTCCAAATAATGTCCAATATAGCTATCAATGTAATTTCACATTCAAAGTGATGCACTTTTTATGATTGCAAAAAATAGATTTATTTATTGAAACGTCAAGGTTTTAAACCAAATCAATGCATTATTGATGTATTTAGAGCCTCTAGATCCTTCAATTCAATGCTCTATATTAGTGTACACTTTGCATGTGGAATGACTTTTAATTTGAACTAGAACACACACATATAATTTAGATTGAATAAAAAGACACTTAACATTCAAAGTATGAATTAATTATAGTTGTGTATTATAAAGGTTCATCTCTATTAAGTTTATTTTGGTAATTGAGTTCCTACTTTCCTTTTTGGGATGGTCCATATTAAAGTTCATGTTTATATTTATAGGGAAACAATTGTGTCTTTCCCAAACTACCCTTCCCTTTTAACTTTAACTATTTGCCCACTTAATCCCCTACCCATACCTACCATTTACCATTTCTCTCTTCACGTGTTATCTTCTTCCCTCTTCTGGAACCATCTACTTCGTCATCTCTCTTTGTCGTTGCTTCCCCTTTCTTCTACTCACCAGCTTCCTCTCTCTTTGTCGTTACCTCCCCTTTCTTCTACTCACCAGCATCCTTTCTTCGCCGGTGCCTCCCTTTTCTTCTATTCAGTCCTACTCACTTGTAATGGGCTTGGAATATTTTACTGGTGGATCCACTAAACCTCCTTTAATTCCTTAGATGGTGGATCTGAACTGCCATCTCCTCACTCAGTGGATTCGTCCTCCACAACTGTAGATCTGAAACCTTCTCCTAAATCAGATCTAAAAGATGATTGCCTTCCATTTAGAATGTTCATTTTTTGTTTCGGATATTCTAGTTCATCAGAGAATGATTCAAAATAGTGCATGTGTAAGAAATACGGTGACAACCTAGTTTCTGATACGTTTGATGGTTTGGAGGGCTTCGACAAGGAATACGGAGAATAAGTGAGCTCGGCACGAGTGGCAGAGGAAAAAGAGGAAGGGAATGGCAGCGATGCAGAAGGGAGAAACGAAGGTTTGCAAAAGCGGCAAAGGCTAAGCTTTGGACATGTTGATTTGAACAATACTCCTTTGTTGTTCTCTTTGTCTCCTCATTTATGTGTTTGTTCTGATTTCGTGTTGCTTGCCTTCCTGTGTGAAGTCTGTTAGCCAATATCAATGTTTGTCGCTCGTGATGAATTTAGGCTTGTGTTATGTAATGTGTGTAACAAATGATGTTCCTCTGTGATTTTTGTTAGCCAATGATTTGGTGGGATGATGAATATGTGATGATAATTATGAAATATGACATAATTATGTTAGCCATTAATTGAGAATTACATGTCTTGCATATTCTAGCTTCTAGTGTGATGATAATTATGGAATCTGACAATGAACTATGAATGATGTGTAACCATTACACTTATATATGCAACCCACAAATTGAATGTGCATCGGGTATTTTATAATGGTTATAGTGTAGGGGCTATTATGCGTGAATGGTGTGTAAAACTTAAACATTAATGTGAAATTATTTTTATTGCCAACTGTGTTAAATGAACATTTTAC